CTCTGTTCCATCTCTTCAGTTCTACTTTCTTGTCCTACAAGCGTGTTTGACACATCTGCCTTTTCAGTCTTAATTTTCTGAATTGCAATTTCATGTTTTCCTGTTATTTCTAGTACTGTGTTGGCAGTACTCTCTCTGTCTTGTGATGATTTTTCAATTTCTTGTACCTCTTTGTCAACAAAAATCTAGAAGAAATATATAGATGAAAAGAAACTTGAACAGATAGAGATTAAAATATTTAGAAGTTTGAAGAAAGAACTAAGTTCTTGTATTTGTGAATGCCGACCCTGATCTGAGAAGCTGGAGGTCAGAGAGAGGGTACTGCTTGGTCAGCTGGTAACAAGAATAAAGATGTTGTTGTTGTTGTTATTTGCCCTTGAGTCACCTGAGATTCATAGTGACTGCATGTACAACAGTTCTAAACCCTGCTCTATCTTGAGCCAATTTCATTGTATCTGATACTCCTACTTCTATTACCCCAGTCACTGAGTCAATCCATTTCATCCAGGGTCTTCCTCTCTTGAGTTGTCCCTCCACCTTTCCAAGCATAATGTCTCTCTCTAAGAAATGGCCCCTCCTAACAGTAAGTCATGTATGTCAGACAGAGCTTCAAAATCTGCCTCTGAGGAGCAGCCTAGTTTCAACAGCTTAAGGATGGACTGTTTGTTCTCTTAGCAGTCCATGGTATGTTTGGTATTCTTCTCCAGCACTACAACTCAAAGGTATTGATTCTTCTTCTATCATCCTCAGTCTCTTCCTTTTTTAAATTTTCTGGCTGCTGATGCCTAGAGTGTTGATTGCGGAGCCAAGCAAAAGCAAGCTGAAGCTATTAACAACCTTAAATCTCTTCTCCATTTATTATGATGCTACCAATTGGCCCAGTGGTGAGAATCTTTGTTTTCTTGATGTTGAGCCGTGTCATTTGGAAAAAAGGAGGTTGTAATGAAAGAATTTTTCTTTTACTTTTCCAAGAGGGGAGTGTACTGGGAGGGGAAGGTTGGGAGGGGAGAAAAGTGCAATAATAAATGAATGGAAATGCAAAGTCTCTGTAAATTTTTATTGAAATTAATAATAAAAAATTTTCAAAAAACACAACAAAAAAATGGAAGTTGTTTATAAGTCTTCCTCCAATCCTGATGCTACATTCCTCTTCACAGAGCCCAGCCTCCCAGATGATCTGTTCTGCATATAGATTGTAAAGGTATGGAAATAAGGCACATGCCTGGCATACACCTTTCCTAGTTTTGAACCATGCAGTTTCTTTACTCTGTTCTGAGGACTGCTTCCCGGTCCAAATATAAGTTTCACATAAGCACAATCAAGTGTTCTGGGATTCCCATTCTTCTCAAAGTTAGACACCGTTTAATGTGATCCACACAGTCTGTTTCATTGGCTATGCAAAGGATAGAGATATGAGAAGGTAAAGAAAACTAGACCCATTTCTAAATGAGAACTGGATTTATGTTGAACTTTACTATGCAATTTGCAATAAAGGTAGGATCTGCCACTGAGTTTCCTGGTAAGTGTAATAAACTATGGTATTTATTACAAAGTCAGGATGGGAAGGGCAAGGACAGGCTTAAACTCAAATGCATAGGCTGAACCTTAAATACGCATAAAAGAATATCTTCTCCCTCTCACAGACTCTCAGCTCTTACTTCAAGTTATTCCAAAAGATTCAGTCAGCACCACCCAAAAACCCTAGGACCTAGGAGTTGTATTCTTAGCTGCTGTTGAATTGAGTCCAATTTATAGAAATGCTATATAAAAGAGAATTAAACACAATCATCACCAAATTCTCACAATCATCACCAAAATAAAGTTCATTATTGTGGTCATTGTGCCAGGTTATTTCCTCTACGATATCCTTCACCCCACTGTCCTACTTCACCAAATATTATGTAGTCCCCCAGCAGACAAAGCAAGCTAGCCATACGTATCTACAATGATATTAATTTTCAAATGTTAATCATAAGTCATTTCTTCCTAGACTATCTCAGTCTAGAAGCTCCAAAGCTTTCTCTTTCCACCATGGATATTTGAGATATTCACGGCATTGCTTCCAAAATCATGGCAACACAAAAGCAATTATAGTCAGACAAACTAATAGGTGAGTAGTGTTTATCTAGGATAATTTTTCACTTTTAAAATGAAAATTATTAGGAGATTTAATGATATCTTTACACTCATTTGATAAGAGTACCAAGATGGAGTTTGATTGAATAACTGGAGAAGATAACCTAGCCATATCAATAAAATCAACATAAGCTTCAAATTCAGTTCTTGTTACCTCAATCTGACAATTAACAGGTATTTTAGGTGGCAAAAGATACAAGATATTTTTCTCCATACATGGGGAAAATCTCTATGGAGCACAATTCAACTCATGGGGACCACCAGGACTCACAAATGAAACAAAAGCAACCCGAAATCACAGAGCCAACTCAATAAATTATGATGTAAAATTGAGAGGCTCAGTAAAGTTAGGTTCTGTCAAATAAGGAAATGGGGTTTTAGAAATTAATCCTTGGATCCTCTTAGTCAAATATACTCCTAATCCTTTGAAAATATATTTCAATCAAGGCTTTTTGTTATACGATAAATATTAGCAGTTATTCTTCTCTTTCAATAAATTACTCATATACATTTACATACATAGACATAAAGGTAGCTTAGTGGTAAGGAGCCAACCTAAAAGTCAACGGTTTGAATCCACCAGATGCTCCATGGGAGAAAGATGAGCAACCTCCTAGATGTGATTTACTGATTCTGAAAATGCACTGAAGAGGCAGCTATGAGTTGGTTCCAACTTGATGGTACATAACAACATATGGATACATATACCTAACAAATAATTTTTATTGTCTTAAGAAATAATTTTTATTATCTCAGTTAAGTAGGATCTTTGAGATATCCTCTACATTAGTAATTTTGAACAATTGGTTCTTTCTTCACAATTTTGTAAAATTTTACCAGTTTGCAAAATTTTCTGATTTGTAAAATTAAATTAATTAGGTTGTGGAGAGACAGGAACCCTTATTCACTGTTGGTGGGAGTGTAAAATGGT